GGTCCACTGTGTTTTCTGAAGTCCACAGTCAACGCAGCCATCTAAATATATAATTCATTCATTTTACTAATAGTTAGATTGGGCAAGCCTTCACAAAATGGCGTTTAATATAAAAAAAATAATAATAATTGCCTTGACAAAAGGGCACTTTGGGCATCAAGGGGAAAGGGGCAGGTCCTCAAGCACCCATCACCCCCCCCCTGCACGGGCCTGCTATGCCAGTCCCTGAGGTGTGTCATTTTACAATGAATAAACATTTGTCACTTTAGTGGGCTAATGTACCTCAACACGTCCTATAAAAACTCATTTTATCATTACCCTGACAAAAAATAAATAAATAAATTGGCAGTGGCACTATGATACCATTGTATTTACTTGGCACTTCAAGGTAGTTGAATACATGGTACAAAAACACAATAGAATCATGGTACTTTGCTTTACTTTTTGTAAGTGTTATTCATCATTATTATTATTATTTATTGGTGGGCGGTTAAGACTAACTGCCTCAGACTGGAATAAACAGTTTTGTCAGCTGGATAGCAAAAATCAAAACAGCATCCACTCCTACCAGAACAGAGATGACCAATCAGAACACTGTTTCCTGTGGTCTGAGGGAAAAACACCCCAGTACTATAATTGGCATTGGGCCTTCTATCACAAAGCAAAATACTAGTTTGAACACATCAGGATCAGAGTGTCTGGCTTTTTGACTTCAGGCAGACTTCAGATTGCAAACTGGTCTTCTAAAGTAGATAACGCGCCTGGAGCGCCTCCTAGTGACTAAACATTAAAACATATCCTAATAGCTACTTGTTTGTTTTAATGCGTCATAAACTATCGCGTAATGTTATTTTACAATATAATTGTTAAATAATGATAATGAAATCATTGTAAGTAAAATCATTGAAAACATTTTTTCATGCTGTCTGTGGTGATGTTCAGACTGGACTGAAGGGTGTCAGATATTATTGAGATGATAGAGCAGAGTGTGAGGTACATTAATTAAACAGCTTTTTAACACATATTAGTCAGTGTTTATTTGTAAATATGTATTTGCATATTTGTAAAATAAGTTTATGGGTAAAGAGGGTGTCTGATACAATGTTTCTCAGATTAGGCTGGTTAGGCCTTTTAGCTGGGTGAAAGGTATTAAAATCCCTTGCGTTGTTTTTAGTGTTTTTCTTAACAATTTTGAGCAATTAATTCATATCAGACTGCTTTAATGTGTGTTATCTGTTTTGTTTTTTATGAACTTTAACTGTGACAACAAAACAGAGCCTTGATCCTCACTGAAGAGTTAGAAATCTACTGCTAAAAAGACAAGCGTGAATCAGGCACTTTCCAAAAATTGCCTTTATTACAAATTAGATACAGATACAAATGACAGAATACAGACTGAAGTTGAAAAGTTACGGTCCTGATACAATAAGGACATATAATTGATAATAATAAAATCATAACAGTAATACATGTAAATGCAGATGCAGTTACTATGGTCAGTCACGGAGAGTTTGATCATTGTTCTGTGGTGAAACATGTAAATCACCTCTGTCATGTCATTAAGAAACACAAACACAAAAGGTAAAAGGAGAAAAACAACTTGATACAAATGCAAAACCTACAGGAGCTCAAAAATATTAAATGAAAGAAATCTGATGCAATTTGTGAAGCTGTTGGTGTGTGCTGTGTGAAATGTGTTCAAATATAGGTAGCACATTAGATCTGGAGTCTCTCTTTGTGCATAGTTTTCAAGTTGGAAAGCTATAATAATTACAATTTACAAAGGAAAATTAATAATTAAAAACATTTTAAAATCACTACTGTGAAACAAAATTACTTTTATGCGAAGATGCAATGTTATAATGTTACTTTGTCATTGTAGCCAAAATTATTTAGAATTTAAAAGAAATTTCCGGAGTGGACCGGAGTGTTTCTACAATCTCTGTTCCCTCTCACATTCAAATTTGCAGAACTGTCTTCAGCTTTTAGTCTTACAGGAAACCCAAGCGTTCTGCAGGAAGTTAACTGTCTATTTTCGCAGAAACACCCTGAGCTCACATGGACAGTTTTTACAGTTATTTGTAGTCTGAGTGAAGATCTAATCTGATCTTTCTCTCTGGCCATTTTGTCATTAGTACACTACTAGTACATTGATATTAGCATACTTACTACAAGTATATGTAAAAAATATGCTTGAACTTTACCTAAGTATACTTAAAAAAAGAAGTTGAAGTATACTTTATAAAGGTACATCATAATGTTTGTGAATGTTTTACTTTCTGTGCTTCCAGATCGTCTTCTGGAGTGGATATAGGCCAATATACAAAAAGAACAAAATTACTTTACAGATATTTATTTTTTAATTTGTCATGATTGCCCTCTAGCGTCCTAGTGCGAGAATGTCAGATTCATCAGTAACGGACTGATGTTGACCTCGTCATATATATTATGTCTATGGATCTCGCAACACTGCAGCCACGCCCACCAGAGCAGAGACAACCAATCAGAACAGTGGTCTGAGGGGAAAAACACCTCAATACTTTAATAGAACTGTCCAAAACTTTTAAAATAGGTTTAAGTAAAAATAGGTTTGGGCCTTTTTTCACAAAGTAAAATATTGGTTTGAACCAAGCGGTAACCTCCCGCTCTCTCTCTGAAGCCAACACGGAAGTGACTTAAACTGCAATTCATCAACTGGCCGCTAGAGGCTGGCTGCAAAAGGGAGTCAATCCCATAGACTCCCCATGTTAAAATGCCCAACTTTACAGCAGAAAAAAAAAACATGTTTACAGCCTGGTTCAAAAAATTATAGCTAATTATATAGCTAATTTTGCCCTTCATGACAACTGTGAGGGGGGTTAATTTTTTTTATAACTCATCCGTTTAAATTATATTAAGCCTTAAAGTTCTGCATAATTAAAATATGAGAGAATAAAATAAAAACAAATTAGTAAACAACAGAGTTGGGTTATTTGTCAGTGATTTAATGCGTTGAGTGTGTCTGTCTCAGTGCCAATTTTGATTCCTCTCGAATGCATAATTACAGTCAGAGAATCCAGTGTCATATATGTTAAATGCTGATCATTGTATTATTATTTATAATTTGTATAAATTTATTTTTAGTAAGGTATTTAGGAGCAAAAATAAATCTCAAAATGTTCTTTTTTTATATTTTTATATTTATTTATTTTTAAGATTACAATCATGTAAAATATCAAAGCATGAATATGACTCAAGTCAGGCCTGCAAGTTATATTTTTAATTCTCTACTCATCATAGACAGTAAGATTGAATGTGTTGAGTGGTGTTTCTGTTCTGCTGCTGGTTTACTGTGAGTCCAGAGTCTGTGGTTCTGGTGTTTGTGATGCTCAGAGATCCAGTTTAAGTCTGTCTCTGAATCTCCCACCAGCATTATCACTATAAAACCTGCTCTTATTGTTCTGTTTGTTGATTATAGCTAGAATTTGTTCAGATCTCCACAGCATCTCATCATCTCTCTGTATTTTCATATCATCAGGGTTTAGAGTGACAGATTAACCCTTCATCACTGATACTGA